TTAACTCCCCGGGATGGTACCTGAAAGGCCCAGCTGAGTAACGAAGTGTCCCCGCTAGAGAGGCTGCCAGTGCAAGCTCCCGCCCGGCCAACAGTTGGGAAGAGAGGCCTGGTGATCTGCTTTGGTAAAGATTACTAGCAAGGAAACTCCCTGGAGGGCAGTGCTGCTTGGTCACGAAAGGGTGCTAATTCCAGCCCTTCCCACCTTTTCCTCATTCCTCTTGCCCTTTTCTTGCTCACGGGCACGCACAAACACCACCCCACCACACAAACACACACACACCACCACCACCACACCCCATCCTTGGGACCCTGGGTGAGCTGTGGGGCTGGCCAGTGACTTTTCCCACCCAGCTGTCTCCCAGACGACAGAGGCATGCTGGGTTTGATTTCTTTCCCATTGGAGGGGGTTATTTCCGGTTTTCCGGAAGCTGGTGGCTCTGGAGTGCTTACTTGATTTGCCCAGGGGTTCACTTCCCTTTGTGCTAGGCAGGGAGTTCTCTGACCAAGGTCGGAATGGACTGCATTGGGGGCCCCATCAGCCCTCTCCAAGCCTGTACCCTCTGCAAAACTGACTGGCAGTTTAGTGGGAGGGGACCTCCCCCCAAATCATCTCTGGGACATGCCCACCCATGCTTCTTGGTTCAGTGTTGTCATCCAGTTCTGTATTCCGTGTTCAGCTTGTCATGCAGTTAGCATCCTTTATTTTCTGTGAGAGACAGTGGGGGGGGGGGCACACCCATTTGCTGGGGCCTGTCCAGGAGTTCTCGGTCTTCCAGTGCCACTGAGCTGCACTGGAGTTCTGCCACGGGGTGGATTTTTGTTGTGGTCTGCTTTCTTTTTCCACTGGACAACAGCTAACCATGACAACAGGAGGATGACTCAGCACACGGTCTCTCCCCAGGGATGATGGCCTTGTAAACGCTGCACGGGTTGGGGTGGGGATTGGATGATGATGGCTACACTGAGGGGCAAGGTGGGGCCAGGCTTCCCCTGCTGCTGGTGCTGAGAACAGGGTGTTGTGTAACTTGGCGGGGAGGGACGGAGGAGCTGGGAGGCTTTTTCTTGACCCCAGGGCAGAACTGCAATCCCTTCTTCTCTGGCTCCTGTGAGGAATTTGTTTTGCATCCAGGACCAAATTAGCTTGGAACTCCAGTTTGTTAATCTTTGAGACCTTATTACACAGACACACACTGCACCACCCCGTCCCCAAGGAGAAGAAACCCAATCAAGTCCCCTGCTCTAGTCCATTTCAACTCAGTGTCTCCAGAGGGCAGAGTCCAACTGCCCTGCAGTCTTTCCAAGGCTGAGAGTCTGTGGGAGCAGATGACCGGGCCTAGCACTTGAGTGCCTGGTGCGTTCAAGCCACTGCTTGCACCATCAGGGCTTTGGAGACTAGGCTTATAAATCAGGCCAAAAAGGCCACCTAGTGGCACAGTGGGCTACATCTTCGCCTGCTGACCCCAAGATCTAGGGTACAGTCCCTCCCACCAGTCCTGAAGTGAAGGTGAGGCTAAGTCCTGCTCTTAGAGAGTCCCCGTGAGTCTTTAAGTTAATGCCACTCCTGTGGGCTCAAGAGCAGACTGACTCTGACCAGGGGGCCGTGGTCAGTGATGGTAACATTGAAAATAAGCCAGCTGTTGAGGGCCCTCTCTGTACTAGATAAGAGAGGTCCTGCCCTGGCCACATACTCCAGGCAAAGCCCCACTCCCCAGCCCTGACTCCTGCCTGGATAGGGTAGGAGATGGTGGGGCGGGGCGTTTCTACCTCCTGGCTTCTTAGCCTCTTCACAGTCCCTCTGTGTGCTGGCTTTTTACTTGCTTGCTTCCTTATTTGTTTATTCTATGCAACTTTTCTTTTTCCCTTCAGGCAATTGAAGAAGAAGGGGGTAACCCTGATGAAATTGAAATTACTTCGGAAGGAAACAAGAAAACATCCAAGCGGTCCAGCAAAGGTATTGAGGATTTCCTAAACCTTCTTGACATTAAGAGTTTTCTTCAAAACACTTTGCTAATCCTCCCTTGTGTACTTGGACACATGGGCTGTCTCAGAAATACAACTTTGAGATCTCACCACTGCGGGTTGTCCCGATGTTACCCAGGAACAGTACCTGGACCAGAGGGTAGCACGCTCCTTCCTTTTCCTGGGTGAGCTTGTCAGTGCCCTTCCATGTCTGATCCTAGCCACACTTGAGTTAGCGAACATGTAGGAGTGAGTTTCTGCTTGCTTTGCTCCCCTTCTAAACACCACCTGGCTGAAACAGAATTGTTACTTTTACCATGGGTTTCAAACACTGTCTACAGGGGAAAAGCACCTGCCGTGTGCCATCAGTGAAGCTACCTGTCCGTCCCCTTCCAGCTTTCTCCCCACTCCACCTTCTAACCACTCTGGTTTTAATTCAAACCCCAAGCATGTCTACTTTCTCCGCTTATGAAGCTCTGGCCACCCCTGATTCTCATCTGTCCAAGGCCCAGTTTATCAAGGGACATCTCACCTTACCAGTAGTCACTTGTCCCTCCTCAGGTCCCCTGCACCCACCCCGGCCTGGTTTCTGATCCCTTGGTTCTGCCCTTATGTCCTCCTGCCAGGTCCTCTCCCTTCCCCTCCGTCGTCGTCACTCAGGACTGTCCGGTGCTTTGGGAAGAAAGAAGCAGCTACGCCCGGGGCCTTGAACTGTCCAGAAAGGGCTCTAGTAATTGAACGTTTTTTAACGCTTAGGCCCCCAAACAAGATTCAGAGCTCAAAGGTTGGTGTGTTTTCTGCACCGCAGACCCACTGCTCCCGACTCCAGCTGAATGCACTGGTTAGCTGCCACCAGCACTAGCACTGCACACTTGAGTGCTGAGGAGAAGGAAGGACTGCTCCTCAAGGCATTTCTATGGAGATAGGTCTTGCTGGTGTCTCCTCAGACCACCCTGCTCTTTGTGATAAGCCGCTTGTGTTTTCTGCAACGCTTTTCCCTGCCCTTCTCTCGACGGGGGGTGGTGTGTCACACTCTGTTCAAGAACTGCACACAAGGCGGGTGGCATTTTTTGCCCTTCCTGGCACTTGAGATTACTGAGAGGGGGTGGGTGGGATATTCTTGCTGTAATATTTTATTCCGAGATGGAGCTGTTTGCCTGGGTTTTATTTCAGCTTCTCATATTCTCTGATTATGCTTAAGGAAATAGAACCTTTGCTCTATGTCTCGAAGGACACAGGCGGTTGTGGAGTAGTGGATGTGGTTTTAGTCTCACGTGGGGTTTTCCCTCAGGTGGAATTTGTTTCTGCCTGTGGTGTTGGTGGGGCAGGGTGGAGTTCCAGTGTTTCCATTACTCCAGAAAGATGCTGCCTGCTCCCTGCCCACTCAGCCTCAGTCACCGCTGTGATGGCCACAGTTTGATTGACTTTTTCTAGCAGGCCATGTACCATGGCCCGTGTGATGCCCAGCTCCTAGTCTGGTTTCTCAGCATGATCAGTAACCTGGAATATAGAGCCCATTTTCAGGCTTGGTTGGGGAGGGGAGTCTACTGCCACGGAATAGCCTCCGAGCCCTTTCTCATCATAGCTTCATTCTCAATAAAGCTGTTTCTTTGACCTGTTGTCAAGACAGGCTGCTTCTGCATGCTTCTAGAATTGTTTCACACCTATCATTTGCTTAGTGGAACTTGCTTACGGATCAGCACAGGGAAGACTCTTACCTGGGCATGAGTAGAATTCGTGGAATGTTTTGTAGCTGAAGAATCTAATTCAGCACATTTGCTTTTTAAGCTGTTCCCTACGACCTGCAGGGTGGTTATTGGTTTTGAGCTCATTGCTGAATTGGAGGAAGGACATAAGAGCTCCCTCACCTCCCTTACCCAGGTTTTCCCTTCATCACCCTCACTGCCCCTCTCACTCGCTCTCTCCCCCTCATGTCCCCAGCTGTGCCAGAGTAAGTCTCAGATATGTACCCCTTTGTTCTACATGTTGCTGCAGTATCTCCTAAACTCAAGGATATTATATAACTACTCGTTAAACCCAAGAAATCACTGTTGATCTAATTCTGTTGTTTTCTCATAGGCCTGTTGAAATGTGGTTGTCCCGATCTGTCCCTTGCATTGCGTCCACTTGTCATGTCTCCCAGCTTCCCTTTAACTTGGAAAGGTACTAGGGTTTTCCTTCTAGTCCTGGCATTACCATTTTTGAGACCCAGAGACCTCGTAGGCCAGAGTGGCGTCCCCTCGCCAGGGTTTCTTTATGGAAGCAGATGCCACTTCATTCGACCGTGAAGCAGCTGGTAGAATTGAACCTAACAGCCAAGCCCTTTGGCCACTGCGCCTTGAGGATTCCTTTTGTTCTTTTATAGTCCGTTGGGTTTAATCTTGTGATTTGGGTGCCAGTTTACAGAGCAGGTTAATTTTCCATTCAGTTCTCACCTAGCATTGCTTGCAGTCCCCACAGAGGAGCAGCACCCATACGTACCACTTCCTGTTCCCAGGGTCCCCTCCGGTTGCTGAGCTGGGTCATAGGGAAGAGCTGCCCTGTGGCCTACAAATTGTCTACCCCCCAGGTGTTCTGTTCACTGCATAGGCATTTCTGTCGTTCAAATGTTAGGCTGAAGGGCAGGCCTTGCAGGTGAGCTCATTTCCAGACTGGAAGAATGTCTCAGGGCAGTAGTCCTAGGGGTCCCGCTACTCTCTCACCAGCAGGCCTGACCTTTTTGAGTTTTGTTGTTTGTTTGTTTGTTTGTTTGTTTTTAATGGTTATTTAAACATGATTTCTTGGATAGTGCCAACATGTTTCATGTAACTATTAACCTAAAGATGGTACTGCAGAAGAAAGGCCTTGGCTGTCATAAAATGACACCCAAGAGAACCCTCTGAAGCCGTTTTCTTGTCATTCACCAGGATGGGGGCACCATGAGTTGGAATCCACTGGAAGGTAGCAGTAGCTTCTGTTGTGTTATTGTTGGTCTTGGGTTTGTTTCAGGGGGCCCAGCTATCAGCACAGCAGGGGTGGGCGGCTGGCAGTTTGTAGAGTGATGTTGGCCAAATGCCTCCTTTGGAGGTGGCTCCCTTTGTGATTAAATCAGTAGGTTCGGAAATAGCCTGTTCGTTTCCCACAAGTTGCAGTCGTTACCAAATGGAGGTTTTTCTTCACATAATGAAATTACAGTTTGTAATTATGGAAGGCACCCTGTTGGCACAGTGTTCAAGTGCTAAGTTAAAGTCTCCAGCCACTCGGCCTGATGACCTACATGCCATTGAGCTGGTGCCGCTTGGAGTAGCTCTACGGAACCTGCCAGAGCTGCCCCATGCTAATGGGCTTTTCCGATTTCATAATTTCTTTCCCACTTAGTGCTCTCTCCCCCTCAGGGGATGGTTTACCCTTCTTGCCATTACATATACCATATATACTCGAGTATAAGCTGACCCAAATAGCTGCTGAGGCACCTAATTTTACCACAAAAACTGCATTAAAAATGTGCTGGAAAACTCAGCTTTTACTTGAGTCTATACAGTAGGTGTGACTTCAGAGATTCTTAGCCTGTTCAGTAGACTGTCATCCTGTTCCACTGTCATAGATCTAGATTCAGATCATCACCCCTGTGAGGTCCTCCCCTATCCTTCGTGGGGTGCTTTGTGTTCTGGCCCTGAGAGCCGTGCTCCATCTCTTTCAGAAATCCTGGTTCCCCGTGTGGAGAGTGGTGTTAGAGACCAAGGTCTGGGTGGTGGTCTAGGCCAGAGCTGGGCATCACTGAGGCAGTCAGGAAGAAGCAAGCCCAGGCCCTAACTGGAGGGAGCTGGTGCCATGCCTGCCTGACATAGTAGCCACCCTCCTGCCTGGCCCACTAATTGGTTATAACAGTCTGAGCAGGTACTTCTGGGAATTTAGGGGTGAGCAGTTGTATTTTCTTTAAATCAAAGACTTAAAGTGAGAAATTTTTGAGTGCTCACTCTACCCGCCACTGACTGATTGATTGAGAGCCCGTGGGACAGAGTAGAACCCCCATAGGTTTCCAAGGCTCTCCACTATCACAGGAGCAGAGCACGGCCTACCTTTCTGTTACAGCCATTGGTGGGGCTATAAACTGTTGACATTGCGTTTAGCAACCCAACCATAACCCACCGTGGAAACGTGAGCTTTCCCAGCAGCCTGCAGACCGAGTGAGCCCCACCTTCTGGAGGGAGTGTCTTGGACAACTGCTCTGAAAAAACGGGGCTTTGCTAAGTGACAGCTTCCTGTTGAAAATAGTTCGTCCATCTCCTTTTGGCAAGCCCGCACTTTAAAAGGCCCGTCTTTTTTGCCATGCCTGATGTTTTCCATTTTTGGCTTCCGTTCTTTTATTTCTGGTATCATTTGCAGTTTCTTGTTTTCTACTTAGTATTTGTACGAAAAGTAACAGGTATAAGCGGGTAGGAACCTGGAGGCTGGTCTGAGATACCCTTCACACTGGGGATTGGATCCACCTCCAGGGATCACTTTTCAGCCACCAAGTCTAAAGAATGTCCAGTTCTTCACTGGTTGCAAGCTGTAGATTTTCTGAACTAGATTTCCAGCCTCTTGAGAAAGCACTGGACGTTGAATGATTCCTTCTAATTCACTTGAGTTCACTTTTCTTCTAGTTACTCTCAATATTTTGTATTTCAAAAAATTATTTTTCTGTTGTTAGCTACTGCTTACAAAAATGCTGCCTGGGCCATGGGAGTGATCATGGATTTGGACACAGTGTGATCCATGGCTTTTCTTCCTAGACCAGTGGTTCTCGACCTTAGTAATGCTTTGACCCTTTATTACAGTTCCTCATGTTGTGGTGACCCCCCCCAACCATAAAATTATTTTCATTACTACTTCATAACTGTAATTTTGCTACTGTGATGCATCGTCCTGTAAATATCTGATATGCAGCATGTATTTTCACTGTTACAAATTGAACATAATTAAAGTATAGTGATTAATCACAAAACAATATGTAGGTATATATTGTGAACTATTTATGTGTTTTCCGATGGCCTTAGGTGACCACTGTGAAAGGGTCATTCAACCCCCAAAGGAGTCACAACCCACAGGTTGAGAACCGCTGTCCTTGACCCTTTTAGTCTGGGAACTGTGCTAAAGCTGTTCAGCAGCGTATAACAACCAGTACTCAAGTCTCTTCCGAGATGATGTTGGCTGGGAATGTTCATAATCGCATAATATGCCACGTAATGGAAACTGGACAGAGATCAGTAGATGGGAGCAGACACAGGAAATAGCTCCAGGCACAGATCACCATGGAGTATGGAGTAAGGCCAGAGTTGTAGATGATTTCATAAATGGTACTGAGAATCGGTTTCCAAATGAAAAGTGGTGGTGTTACTCCACACAAAGCTAGATGAAAATGAAGTGATAGAAAACAAACCAGGGAAAGGGTAGGGTCCGGTACAAGTGGCCTTGGTGTGGGCAAGGGCTGCTAAACATGAGATGGGAACACAGTCAGCGGGAGCTGCAGGCAAGTCGCGTTTTTCGTGAAAGCCATGCACGCAGTAAAATGCAGGTGGACTTTGCAGGTTCTGGAGAATGAGGGGCGGTGCAGTAAGGGCTCTTGATGTGAAAGTTACAAGTACAGGGATCTTTTCCTGCCGAGTGAGTCAGCAGGAACAAAGAAAACACTCATTTGAATAAAGGTCAGCACTTTTCCCCACTATTGATGGAATTGTGTGAATAGGAGTTGCTCTCCTCCAGAGTCTTTGTCCTCTGGGAATCCCATGTCTAGAAGCACACTCCCAGAGGAATAGTACCTCAGCCCAGAAAAAAGCAGGGTTGCCTGCATAGTCTTTTCACGGCTTTTCTTATACTTCCATCTATTTTCATTTTATTTCAGAGCATCATGGGCAAAAAAAATTACCTCGGGGGCCGCCAGTTTAACACTCCTGCTGTAGACCAACAGTAGCATCTCCCTACCGTGCTACTTCAGAATGTGGAGTGGTGGTCATGAAACCCTAGTGAACAGGTTCTTTTTGGTGAGCTGTAAAAATGGCACAAGGGCTGCATCTGAATTCCTCCTAAGTTCACAAGGGGCAAGGCTGAGCTCAGGAATACAACCACCCCCCATGTTTTCCCCAGTTCTGACGCCAGCCCTAATGAGCTCTGGTGGGGGGGGTAGCATAGGTGTTGAGCAAGATAAGTGATTCAAACCCACCAGCCATTCTTTGGGGGAAAGATGAGGCTGCTCCCGAAAAGATTTACAGCCTTGGAGCCCCTAGAGAGCTGATGTGCTTTTAGCCTACAGGCATTGGGTTTTGATAGCAGCTGTCCGTCCTGTATAGCTGTCTAACGTGGGGGGTTAGGACTCTGTTGCAGTGGGCGCAAGAACATTGACAGGGCATACTCAGTGTTTGTTAGAAAAGATTCAGGCTGCGGTTCTATCAGGACAGCCTCTTTTCAGCCACATCCTCGGGCGAGCCTCGCCCTGCCCCTGGGGGTGCCCTGTTGATCAGTGGCCCTGCTTTCTTGCTTCCTGCCGGTCTTCTGACTGACTGGTTCTGCAACCGCCGGTTCTCTGCTCCACTTCTCTAGCCATCGCCTGGGTCCAAAGATCGCCTCTGACTCCTAGCTCTTAGTTCTGTCTGGGTGGCACTAGTCTCCCCTGTGCATTCTCTTTATCTCTTGTGAAAGGGGTCACTTGAGTAAAAGGTGCTCTCCAATCACTTCTGGCTCATAAACTGACTCGCTGCTCTCCAGTCACTTCTGACTCATAAACCCCATAGGACCGGGTAGAACTGCCTGAGACTGTGACTCTACAGGAGTAGAAAGCCTCCTCTTGCCAGTGCGGTGCAGATAGTAGTTTCAAACTGCCAACCTTGTAGTTAGCAGTTTAACACTTAACCACTACGCCACCAGGGCTCTCATGGTGGTATGAGGGTGGTGTTTTAAGTCTTTGTTGACAATACAATTCGGAACCGGCACCAGCCATCAGTAACCCACTGCTGACGTTGATTCTTCCTCCTAGCAACCCCGTAGGACAGAGCAGCTCCGCCAGGGGACCTGGGCTGTCAGTCTGGTCATGCGCTGGCCGCAGTGCGGTGCTTAAACCCGATGCTCCGTCTGGCACAGAGGCTAGGGTTGACACCACACCCCGAGATACAGGATAGTAGCATCTGGTGACAAAATGGAGGGTAGCCATTCAGGGCTGGAATGGTGGCCTAGCCAAGTAGACACAGGTTTTTAGGGGTCTGTCCCTGATGATCCGCCTTTAGTCCTGCCTGTTTGTGGTGTGGAGTCACACAGGTTATATGCTCGAAGGGTCATTTCAAGTAATGTGTTTTGTTTTACTTTTACTGTTTGCTCACTCAACGCTTCGATGACAAAACAGGCTGGGTGTTTACTTGCCTGGAAAGTAGCTGGCGGCTGCAGTGAAGGGAGGACGCCACTGGAACAGCTGGCCTCGGGCCCTTCTGTCAGTTGACACGTGACATAAAACTGCTTTTGGCGGGGTGTGGGGGGTCACTCCAGAGTGACCTGGCTGTGTTCCTGCTGCTGCTCTGTGGGCAGGGCAGGAGCCGGGGCTGCGGGTTTCATGTGTGAGCCCTTTTCTCCCCAGGGCGGAGAGCGGAAGAAGAAGGTGTGGAAGATAATGGACTGGAGGAGAACTCTGGGGATGGGCAGGTAGGCACGAGGCTGCCCCTTGTCCTGGTGCGAGCCACTCAGCCCCTGGATCAGGGGCCCGGCAGTTGGCTGACCGTGGGCCCCTGTGTCCTGCAGGAGGATGTTGAGACCAGTCTGGAGAACCTGCAGGACATTGACATGATGGACATCAGCGTGCTGGATGAGGCCGAAATCGACAATGGGAGTGTGGCGGACTGTGACGAGGATGCTGACACCCTCCCGGAGCCCCTGGCCGACAGCCGAGAGCTGGTTGAAGGCGAGATGAAGGAGCTTCCCGAGCAGCTCCAAGATCACTCGGAGGTGAGAGGGTGGGCCCTCGGCCGATCTCGGAAGTGGAAGGTCGATCCAATTAAGACTTCTGCCCCCTCCTAACAGTTGGCCTTTAGTATTGGGCTTTGACGGCGTTTCCAGGGCCAGGCGTGAGGCATGGGTCCTCTCATGCTGTTAACGATGGTGGGAGGGGTGGGGCTGTGGCCCGACCGAGCATGCCCTCGCCATCCATCCATTGCAGGGCGTGAACTTCGATGAGAAGCAGGAAAGTTGATTTTAGCTCAACATCTGCCACTTCCTTGCTCTCTGGTCCTCAGCTGCACAGATGATGTGTTTGGGGAGGAGCCTGTGGACCAGTGTTGCGCATATGCCTAGAGCAGGAGGCCTTCACCCTGGGCCTGAGTGCCATCGCCGGTAATGACGTATGTGGCAGAGCCCAGCCACAGCCCTTTGTTTCAGTGTTGTGGCTGTTTTCCTGCTGCGGTAGCAGCATTTTCAGACCTGGCCCCTCAGGAAGGCCCAGTGCCTAGTAGAGCAAGAGCTGTGCTTGGGCATCGAGCTTTAGAGAGAGGGTCAGGAAATAAGTGCCTGGCATGGTGATGGCAACCGGGGCTCAGACAACCCAGCCACCCACCCTGAGGTGGCTGCATCAGTGCCAGCTTCCGTTGTGTGGATGTGTGACAGGAATGAATGTGTGTTTCACTTCTCTTGCAGATGGAGGACAAGGACACAATAAACAATTTAGATACGTCGCCATCTGATTTCACCATATTACAGGTAACTCTCGATCGTTCTAGAACTAGAGGTTGGACTCCCGGTTCTGGGACCTGTTTCAGCCCTCATTAGGCAATCCCAGTTATCTGGAGAAGTTGTTGCCAGGGGTGTCAGTTTAGTCTCCTCTGGAGGGAGTATGCTCTCCCTGCCCCCCAAACAGGCTTTGCTTCAGGCCAAGGACTTGGGACTGGGTCTCAGAGGCTGCTTCTCAGCTCCTGCCGAAAGGCCCCCCATCTATTCCGTTTGCACAAAGGCAGGTGAACCCTGGAGCTTGCCCTGCCTTCTGGGAGCTTGTCTCAGAGGAGCCTGGCTCTCTGCTGAATGAATTGTAGCCCTTTGTGTTTCCATCCCTGTCGCTCAGAACTCTTTGCTGGAACAGGCTTAGGAGGCACTCCCTCATGGTGGTTGGCATGCACTTGGTTGCCCTGGGTTTTTGCTCATTTTCCTGCTAGCCGGCCCACTGTCATCTGTTCTGCCATGTAGCCCGCTCTCTTTAGAAGGCAATCCCATGCAGTCAGCAGGAGTCGGCGCCCGGCCTGGTCTCATGGCAGTGAGGCCGGCCGTGTCCTGTAGGGGTGTCAGAGAGCCCTACTTAAAGTGCGAAATTGGCAACCCCACCCTAGATCCTGCTACTGACCCCTGACCTCAGCCCACAAACTCCTTACACTTAGCATAACGCACTTCTTCTGTGGGAGGGGGAACCGGACTTATTTTTCAAAAAGACAAGACCAATGAAGTGGGCTTTCCCAGAGGCGGGAGCCTATTGTCCCTGTAACGTGTGTGTAGTTATATGGGGAGGCTGCCTAGCTGCTAAGGGTACTGGTCCCCACATGCTGCTGCATGTCCACGGGCAAGTTCATGGCTTGCTCTCTTGAGGCCCTGGGACCTGTTATTTAAATGCGGGTTGTTTGTCAGTGCCTCCTATTCCACAGTATCCCCCGACCTTCACACCTCCCCTCACCCTTCTGCGCCTCATCCTTGGCAAGTGCTGACCTTTTGTACAATTGCAGCTGGTGGGGGTGGGGGTGGGGGCAGGGGCAGCTCCTGTCCCACAGCTTTTCATTCTGTAGTTGCTCCAAACCTCTCAGTCTTTCAGATGATTACATGAGAGCATGCCTGTGTGCTTTGTTAAGACTGGACATTGGACCTAGAGCCTTGTCCCTGCCAGGCCTTCCTCCAGAAGAGTGTATGCCCCTCCTTTGTGTGAAGGGAGCTTGGGTCTGGGGACCACTTGGGAATCGAGAGGGATTGGTAGGGGAAGGAGACCTTCCCTAGAGGACACTCTCCATGATGTTGTTGAAGGCCACTGAGAGGGGCCGTGGTGGTGGGGGGTAAGTTGGGACATGCTGGCATACTGGTCAGGTGGACTGGTAAAGACACTTGCTAGACAAGGGAGATGGGAGGGTGAGGGTTCCTGGAGAAGGCAGGGGGTGGGGCCACCTGTCTGTGGATCTGGTCAGTCCTGGCTTTTCTGTGAGCTGATGGTCAGCAACAGAGGCTGGGTGGACATGAAAAGAGTTACAGGAAAGTGCCAGCTGCCCTCCTTGAACCAGCTTGGGTTCGAGTCCCTGTCCATCTGACCAGTTCACAGACAGTGGGACCCAGGCCTTGTGGGGATGCTCCCCCAAAGTGTGGTCAGATAGCAGGCCACTCCCTCCCTACCAATGTAGGGCTTGGGCCTGGATGAGCAAGGTGAAGCCCAGCGTGATGGGACACTGGGACCTCCCCCCCACTGCCCCAGTCTGACTTGCCTTTTCTGTTGCAGGAAATTGAAGAGCCGTCCCTGGAGCCAGGTACTGTTCAATGAAAAACTTAGCAGCGGGATTTGAGCCAGGCTAGCTTTCCACCTTTTCTAGTTTGAATTCTGGAGTCTGAACAAGTTGCCGAGATGGTGGTTACATTGTTTGGAAGGGTTACCATTCAGAGCATACCAGGGCCATGGAGATTGGAAACCCAGCCGTATCGCCAGATCTGTCCCCGGGGCGGCTGCTTTGTGGTGGGACTGGTCACGCCGCTGTGACCCGCCACAGTCCTTGCGAGTCTGTAGAGAGACTTGGCAACATGGCATGCATCTCTGGAGCCACGCACATGTCCCGTCCAGCAGATCTGGTGATACTGGGCACTTGCAGCCTCTGCCAGTGTTATCCTGTAGGCGGGGCAGGCAGGCAGGCAGGCGTAGGGAACTCCATTTTAAATCATTGAGACGTAACTGGATGCCTGAAGAGGAAAGCGTTCTTCATGACAATTCCAAACCAATCCTATTCGCTTCCCGGACTGCAAATCTCTCAGATCGCCACTAGAAGATATCCGGGTTTTCCTATTGGATGGTTCTATTAAACGCAATTCAAAGCAATTTGGACATAGAGCTGTTCAGTGAATGGCCGTTGGTTTTTAAGCACCTTGGACTTTGGAAGCTAAATTTGGAAACGGCGACAGCATGATGAAGACTCAAGAATCAGCCAGAAGGTTGTTTGGGGTTAAATTTCCGGGATGCTTGTCTTCCCAGTAGCCTAGCGGCCTCAGGCAGTAAGTCGTGGTTGGCGTGCAGGTAGTCGGAGCAGGTAACCGTGTCCCCTGGGGTTTTCCAATCTCTGTGTAGTTAGCTGTTCTCCTCGTGTGCGTGTGGCAGCCGTGCCCCATCCACACTTGTGATTGCTGTGTTTCCCTGGTCATTAAACCTTGTGCCATTCTATTCCTGTTAAATCCGTAGAAAATGAGAAAATACTCGACATTTTGGGGAAAACTTGTAAATCTGAGCCAGTAAAAGAAGAAGGTTCCGAGCTGGAGCAGCCATTGGCACAGGACACAAGTAGCGTGGGGCCAGACAGGAAGTGTGCGGAGGAAGAGGACCTTTTTGTCAGCGCTCACCCGGAAGAGGAGGAGCAGGAGCAAGAGGAGGAGAAGGAAGGTGCTTTAGCTGTGGCCAGCGAGTCCACAGACGCTCAGTGGAGCAAGGCAGACACCCTGTTAGCGGTAGTGAAAAGGGAGCCCGTGGAGCAGACGGGCGACGGCGAGAGGCCGGACTGTGAGCCCACGGGGCTAGAGAAGCCAGTTGAGCAGAGTAGTAAAGGCCCCGAAGACGCGGAGGCCTCGGGCCAGGAGGCGGCGACAGAAGCTCTCCAGGAAGACTCAAGCGCTGAGCCCCAAGATAGCAAAGAAGACGTGAAGAAGGGGGACCTGGAAGCTTGTAATGAAGCCCCCCCAGCTCCCAAAGAGTCCTCCGCCAGGGAGGGCGCTGATCAGAAAATGAGGTTTGTTCTTTCTCAGTTCTAGACCAGACGCTCTCTCCTTTCCGCGGGGCACTTAATGACACATACACTGCTCTTCCTGCAATTGCCCAGCCAGACTCGGGCAGCTGTAGTTAACTGCTAGAGAGCGTTTCCGTTCTATTTGGGTATTTTCAGCTGATAATCTGATTTTTGTTTTTGTTTTTGTTTTTTTTTCTCACCCCACTCCCCCATCCCCCATCCCCTTTTCTTTTCCTCAACCACTCTTGGTTGTAGCTTTTAATTCTTCCTCATTATCTTTAGTCCGGCAGATTGATTAACTCTTGTGGGTCTGAACTCTAAGGGATAGGTCAGGTTTCCAGTGCAAGTATGTTGGGGTGTCATTGTTTCAGAACTAGAGGCCGGGTAGGTATGCCACCTCAGCTCAGAGTTTAGCATTTTGAGTTTGGGGGTTCTGTTTTTTGCCCCCCATGAGACTTCCACCTGGAGTGACGCTTTGTGTTTGTCTTTAGTTCTGGCGACGATGACTCGGATGCAAAACGCCTTTCTAAAGAGGAAAAGGGTAGGTCTCCTTCCTTGTCACATCACCACCGGGGTTGTGTGGGGAGGGGTGCTTGAGGCCCTCTGGGGGCAAGCCTGCTCTGGGCCCACCCCAGGTTCTGAGAGCCGAGTGATAGGCTGAGGAAACTGCTGTCCGGGCTGCTGTTTAGTGAGAGACCAGCGACATTAGAGCCCCGATTAGGAGCCCTGGTGGTGCTGTGCTCGAAGCACTAACTATAGTCTGGTTCAAACCCACCAGCTGCTCACAGGAGCAAGATCGGGCTGCTCTCTGCTATGAAGGAGCCTGCTGCTCCCTGAAGGGTCACTGCGTCAGCATCCATTCAGTGACAGTTGGCTTCTAGGTTTGGTTTTGACTGGCACGTTTGATGAAAGTAATGTTTCTGGGCCAAATTCTGAGCTAGGTTGTAAGAAGGACTAGAACTGGGGTCGGACAGGCGCACACCGTAGGGAGATACAGGCAACTGTTAACAGCCAGGGGCTTGAGAAGACAGTTCCTGCGAAAGTGGGATTCCCCTTGTGAGCTGCCTGGGAAGATGGGACTGCCATCTGGCTCCTTTGCTGAGAGCGTTCCTGGCGGTCCTTTGGGGGCTGGGGTGTACCCACAGATGACACAGGGACGGAGGATGCTGGCATCTAGCACAGGCAGGCCGTGTGTCTTGGGGGTTGGGGTGGGCAGTGTCAGAGGCTCAGTGAGTGCAGCGGTGCTGACCCAGAACCCTCTTTTGCATTAGGTCGGAGCAGTTGTGGTAGGAATTTCTGGGTCAGTGGCCTTTCTTCTACCACCAGAGCTACAGACTTGAAGAATCTCTTCAGCAAGTATGGAAAGGTACGCGAGCCAGGGTGTGTTTGCAGGTGCAGCAGTGCCACCCCTTCCTTGTAAATGCCTGGATGTTTCCTGTCACTGCGTATACTCCAGTGCAGCCTGTGAGGGCACCTGCTCTGGGGGCACCTGGGTGACCTCCTTCTCTTCTCCTCCACTCCCCACCTCCCTTGTGTTCCCTGGTCAGCTTGTGGGTGCTGAAGGGATGCGGAATGCCGAGTGTGGGCCAGGCTGATCACATGCAGAGGAACCTGGGGAGGAGATTGCAGAGCCTCTGAGGGAGTTTGTGGCGACAGGCCTGCTAGAGTTACTGGCTGCCTGCCTGGATGCTTCCCTAATCAGCTGGGGGCAGGCCGCCCTCCCCTCAGCTCTGTAGTGGATACCCCTTCACCATTGCATGGAAGCCTCTGGATACCAGGGTGGATGCAGGGGGAGGGGCAGACACCCCTGCCCCCTTGATGTGCGCCTTGAATTGACACCAGTGGGCATATCCTACTTTTCTGCTCCCTGGACACGGGGCCAAGTTTGCCATGCAGCACAGGGAGTCAGTGCCCAGAACTGCTGAGCTTCTGTTCCTTCTAGCTGTGCCTGCCTGCCAGTTGCCCCTGCGTGCACATTTTGTTTCTTGGTTTCAATGAGACTGAAGGAGTACGGGCAGAGCCCTGCCTTTGTGGTGCTGCCCCTTCCTCCCTCCTGCTTTCCTGGCCCTTCAAGGAAGGTAGGCCCTTGGGCAGAAGGAAGGCCAGGACCCTTGCCCTCCAGCGGAGAGGAGCAGAGAGGCAGTGGGTCTTTGAGATCCTACCTATCTCTGGTCGGCACCTGGTGATAGGATCTGCCCTCATTCCCTCCTGCTCTGAGGCTGCGTGTTGGGTCCTGGAGCTATGTGCTCGGCGCCTGGGCCTCACTGTCTGGCTTTCCTTTTAGGTTGTGGGTGCCAAGGTTGTGACCAATGCTCGGAGCCCCGGGGCTCGCTGCTACGGCTTTGTCACCATGTCTACTGCCGAGGAGGCCACAAAGTGCATCAGCCACCTCCACAAAACGGAGCTCCATGGGAAGATGATCTCCGTGGAGAAGGTGGGCATCCTCTGTCCCTGGGTGACCTTCCCAGGAGGCAGGCCCTTCCCTTCCCCTGAGCCTCTCTTCCCCTGTGATTTTAGGCCAAGACGGAGCCTGCGGGCAAGAAAGCCTCCGACAAGCGAGAGGGCGAGGGCAAGAAGGACAAGTCTGGTGCCAGTGACAGGTATAGCTCCTGCCAGCTACCCTGATGGGTCCTCATCCACACGCTGGTACCCGGGCCACCCCCTGGGCCCATGATTGGCCTGGATCTGCTCTGACCGACCTTGGTCACGGCCTTTTCTGCAGATCTGGAAACCTCAAAAGGGATGACAAAGGTGACAGGAAGGATGAGGCAAAGAAGGGCGAAGAAGGAAGCGGGGAAAAGGGTAAAGATCCAGATGATCCGAATTCCGGCCCCCCTGAGCGATCTCGAATCACCAAGTCAGGTAGTCTCCCCCAGCTGGCGGTTCTGGGCTCCCTAACCTCCCCTCCCCTCCCCTCAGGCTTGAATTGAGGGCCGTGACCCGCCCCCCCCCACAGCAATCTCTGCATCCCCCAAGCCCAGCTGGGTGTCTGGCACGTACCTCAAGTTGCCTTTCTCCACAGGGAGCCGAGGTACTGAGCGGACCGTTGTCATGGATAAGTCTAAAGGTGTGCCCGTCATCAGTGTGAAGACCTCAGGCTCCAAGGAGCGAGTGAGTGTCTGGCCTTTGGGCATGCCTGCTACCCACCCACACCTCCTCTCCCTGAGTCCCCTGTAAGAGGCCAGACTTTAGAAAGCTCTCCTTCTTGACTCTGCTCTCATGGTCACTGTTTGCTGTAGTCACCCTGCCGTGTTCTCGTCATTGATTGCCTGCCCACCGTGGCCAGCCTCCCTGCTTCTAGCATCCCTGGGTGGTAGAGTCAGCTGAGCTTTCTAGAGCTGGCTGAAAGCTTAACCTTTCAAACCCACTCTGACGTGCTCAGAAGAAAGGCCTGGTGGTCTGCATTGTCACCTTGTGCAACTGAGCCCTGCCCTGCCCCCTTGCTGTCACCAAGGGTCAGGATGGCCTTCTGGGCAGCTGATGTGCTGTGCCTCTGTCGCCTCTCCCTCCCTGCTTCTGGATCCTTGTGGGCTCATCAGTGAGTCCTCACAACCCACTTCCTGAGTGTCCTGTTTCCCCTAACCATGCATGTTCTGTGACCCAGGCTTCCAAGAGCCAGGACCGCAAATCTGCCAGCAGAGAGAAGCGCTCGGCTGTGTCCTTCGATAAAGCCCGGGAACCGCGCAAGTCCAGAGACTCAGAGTCCCGGAGGTGAGTCTGCCTCGGGTTTGCGCCTCTTGCCCCACGGGCGCAACCACAACGTATAGTTTGCCGGCTGTCCGTGGGGGGGCTCAGGCGGACTTCCTGGGTTCCACTGGGGAGCTGAATCCCCCTGGCCCCCCCTGCCCGCCCACAGGGTGCGTGAGCGCAGTGAGCGGGAGCACCGCATGCAGACGCAGTGGGAGCTGGAGGAGCGGGAGCGGCTGGAGATTGCCCGCGAGAAGCTGGCCTTCCAGCGGCAGAGGCTGGAGCGCGAGCGCTGGGAGCGGGAGCGGCTGGAGCGCGAGCGCATGCACGTGGAGCACGAGCGCCGCAGGGAGCAGGAGCGCATCCACCGCGAGCGCGAGGAGCTGCGGCGCCAGCAGGAGCTGCGTTATGAGCAGGAGCGGCGGCCTGCTGTGCGGAGGCCCTACGACATGGATGGCCGGTCAGCTAGGGCCCACGCAGGTGCCGGGATGGGGTGGGGTGCCCCTGAGAGCCATCCTGACTGGTCCTTTCACAGGCGTGACGATGCCTACTGGCCAGAAGCCAAGCGGGCTGCCCTGGAAGACCGCTACCACTCTGACTTCAGCCGCCAGGACCGCTTCCACAGCTTCGACCACCGCGATCGAGGCCGTTATCCTGACCACGCGGTCGACAGGTCAGCCCACCGCACTCTGGGGCAGAGGGGGCTTCCAGGGGTGGGCTTCGTTTCCCTCACCTTACATCTGCTCCTCATTGGCCTTTTTCAGGAGAGACAGTTCGAGGTCAATGATGGGAGACAGAGAAGGGCAGGTAAGCGGGGGACACCACTGCAGGCAACGCAGCCCCAGCTCTGTGGGTTGAACTGGGTTGTCCCTTGTGGTGGGGGAGCCTGGGGGCTCTCCAGCAGCTGGCTACCACGGGCACAGCCTATGTGGTCATCAGCACTGCCCCAGAGTAGCAGGTGGGGTCAGCCCAGAGCATTGCCGGCTCGCTTTCCAGTCTTTTGGCCTTAGACTCCTCCCTTTCTCACCCAGTGGAGGGTCCTGGTGGTGAGCCAGTCAGTTGGTTGAGGAACAGCGTGGGACAGGGGAGCCCACCAGTTGAAAGCCGGCTCTGGTCTTGGGGCCATGTTGTCAAGGCTGGAGGTGTGGGTGTGAGGCAGGGGAGACACAGGCTTCTTCGGGAAGCCGGAACAGACTTTGGGTGCTTACAGCCCTCTGGCTGAAAGGCGAGTCTTAAGGGCCCAGGTGGTGGCCGGCACATCATTGGGCATTCATAGCTGGCCTGAATTTCCCACCCATGTTGCTAAGCAGCCCCACACTTAACTCCTTGTGCCATCACTGGGCTGCATGCCATGGAAGAAGTGTACTGTGGACTATGGACTGAAGCAGCTCTTCTGAGAGCAGCCTGCGTGTTGTTTCCATGTCCTTCAGCTAGCGAGGGGTGCCCCTGGGCAGGTGGCTGGGTCCTGAGTGTCTGGCAGAGGCATCTAGGTGTGTGGGCTCTGGGCACTTGGCCAGCCTGGCATGGAAGCAGATTCGAGGGAGAGCTGAGTTTGCTTAGCTGTGTCAGCAATGAATGCACTGGTCACCTTCCTGGTGGGTAGAGGGACCCTGGGCCATTTGACTCTGCGGTTCACAGGCAGCAGAACCACCAGGACTTTGTTCCTGGAGCAGCCATGCTGGGCTTAAGAGGAGATATTTCATGGCTGTGAACCCATGTTGAACGGAGATTTCCAAAAGGATTGCTTATTCAGTTTTGCTATGTGGGGGCCCTCGAGAGGGCATTGGTTCACGTCTGTGAACTGGGACAGCGGGATGGCGGGGCCAGGCTCCATGTGACCGCCCAGTGCCTCCTTGCTGTGGAGGAGCAAGAGTATAAGCACATCTCGGATCCCCAAGGGTGCCGGTGGCAGCAGCTGGACCTTTGCAGAGCAGGGACAGGTAGCGCTCCCCCAGCCTTGACTTCATCTGCCCCTAGCTGGGGGGTGGCCCGCCCCCAGCTGCACCCCCAGTTGGCTGAGTCATTCATTGTCATTGTCTGCTGCTCAGCACCCCTCAAGTCCTGAGACCTCCTTCCTGCCCTGCCCCTTTGACCACCAGCACTACCACGAGCGCCATGGAGGGCCCGAGCGCCATGGCCGGGACTCTCGAGACGGCTGGGGTGGCTACGGCTCCAACAAGAGAATGAGTGAAGGCAGGGGCCTGCCGCCGCCTCCCAGGTTTGTGTCTGGCCAGCGAACCCAAGGGTGGTGGTTGGGCTTGGCTCCTCTGATGGGCTGGGGGGGTGGGGGTGGGGGCAGGGACCCCTGAAGTCTTCACTGGGCGTGTGTCGGAGCTTGGGGTGGGCCAGCCAAGTCAGAGGTGTCTTCCTTCAAGGGGCAGACGTGACTGGGGGGAGCACAGCCGGAGGATGGATGAGGACCGTGCCTGGCAGGGCGGTGCCGAGGGTGGAGTGATGGACAGGGACCACAAGAGGTGGCAAGGTAGGACTGGTGGTACTCACTGTCCTGGGTGGCCGCTGGGGAGGCGGGAGGAGGCCACTTAGGCAGAGTTCGGTGACACAGGTCCCTTGTCTTCCAGGTGGAGAGAGAAACTTGTCTGGCCACTCTGGGCCGGGCCACATGATGAGCCGGGGAGGCATGTCGGGGTAAGGTGCTCCACACTGGCACATCTTCCTGCTGCCTCTCCACCTCCACCTGTCTCTCCTTTGCATGTTGCCTTCACTCTGAAGGCTTAGGGCACTCCAGTTTTTCCGACCAGCTCAGCCTGCCCCTACCTGGGCTGGGGGCCAGTCCCATCACTGCGCCTCGATGCTGTGAGCCTGCTGGCACTGCTGCTCCCGAGCGGGGCCAGGGTCTGGAGGAGCACTTCAACAGGGGCCACGGGGGCCTGTGGCCGGCTAAGAGCTGAGCAGGGTTCACAGGCAAAGCCTCTGCTTTTGTTTCTAGGAGGGGCGGCTTTGCCCCTGGTGGAGCCTCTCGGGGGCATGTGATGCCACGTGGCGGGATGCAGGGAGGATTCGGAGGCCAGACCCGAGGGAGCAGACCCAACGAAGCCCGCTTCACCCGCCGCTACTAATGCTTCCCGGCTCGCCCATGCCTGCAGCTGCCGCCGCCCCCAGGAAACCTTCCCCATGTACAAATGCCGTTTGTTTTTTATCTGCTGCCATATTGTAGCTTGATACAATGTGAATTTGGGTTTTCTTTTTGTTTTGTTTTTTTGTAATAAATGTGTCTGTTCACGTACCTTTACTTCCTGTCTCTAAGTAAAACATGCCGAGGACCCCACTGCTCCCCATGGTGCTCTAAGCTGGTGTGTTTATGGGGCACAACGCCAGGCTGTGGGTTCAAACCGCCAACCCTTACCTTACCTTCTGAGCACGAGTCACACCACCGGGGAGGGGGACCTTGTGGTCCTCCCAGGAGTACCTTGGGCAGCAGGTTCAAAGGGCAAGTGACAGTTCTAAGAGTACTTTCTGGGCAATGCATGCCTTCCTGGCCCATAGGGAGCTGGGACCATGTTGTACCTCAGTCGTGCCCAGGAGCAGACCTGGGCAGCCACCTTGTGCTCTTTGACAGACTGGGTACAGAGAAAAAGGGTTCTTGTTCACCAAGTACCCATCTGAGTCCTTTGAATCTGATCCTGTTCTAGGAGTAAAACACACTGCCATCCAGCCCTGTCTGGAGGTCTCCTGTGCGATGGCCGAGCTCATGGCAGCCCTGTGAGTAGGGTTCCCGAGACCGTCAGGCTTTGGGGAGCAGGTAGCCTGCTTCTCCCAGAGAGCATGTGCAGGTGTGGTGAGCTTGGGTATATAGCAGAGGGGACATCTAGTAAGCAAGATGAGGTGTGGAGTGGGAGATCAGAGTGGATCACCACTCCAACCCTACAGGCCAGAGTCAACTCCCCGTAGATTTCCAGGCTTTCAAGCTTTGTGGGGCAGAAAGCTTCCTTTCTCCAGGGAGCAGCGGTTAGTGGTTTCCAACTGCTGGCCTCGGAGCTCCTCTAGGAAGTGAGGGAAGCCTGCCTGTGTGGCTGACCTCCGGCTGCAGGCAGTGACTGGGGAATTAGATTAGGGCTTGGACAGATGGAGGTGGGTGTCCAGGGCCCCTCTAGCCCTGTACTCCACACATGGGAGACTTGGGGAACCAAGGTAGCATATAGAGTTAATCCTGGTGCATGGATGCTGGCCCCAGGCAGTGGACAGGTGAGTGCCCTGCAACTCTCCAGCAGTAGTGGGCACAGCTTGGCCCCCGGGCGGGGAGCCTTGGGGTGCCTGCATCCCATGGGGTGGCTGGGGCAGGTCTGCCTCCTAGCACGGTTTAGGGTTACCATTCCTTTCTGGCCTCAATTTGCTCATCTCTGAAATGGACAGAGTGCCACCAGTGCGGTCATTCCCACCCACTGAGGGCCCATCTCCGCCTTCTGGGAGCCCCCTCAGTACCTTGCCCGCGCCACCCCTACAACCCTGGGTTACAGTTAGCAGCTGTGACCCTTGTCTGCTTTGCAGGGACTGGACGCTACCAAGAAGTGCCCATAGCCACACACCAGCCCCAAGTAGGCCTTCCCGCAGGAGCAGCACCCTAGTAGCGGGGGAACTGGTTTGGCAAGCTGCGTCACCAGCTCACTGTCCCTGCCTATTACTGGGGACACCCAGCCAGGTCCCTGCCCAACCTCCAGACCCGTCTCTCGTCTGTCGGCCAGAAAAAATGGGCGCACACGATTGGAATCTGACAGCCATGCCAGCTGCTTCATCTGTGGGCTATGATGGTCCTTTCACTTGGGGCCGGCCTTGGCCATGGGGGGCAGTCTCCTGACTGCCACACTGGCCAGCAGGACTGGGAACCCAGGATCAGGGGTACTACCTCTGTCCGGCTCACCCCATCTCCCCTATCAGGAGGGAAGCCGTGCAGCCAACACTGGGGAGAACCCTGCAGAGAACACCTTCCTGGAGCCTTCTGCAGTCAGTGGGTGTTCCCTCCCCCCACCCCGGGGTGTCCTCCCTGGGGCAGGTCAAAAGCACGCTTTTCTTTTCCACACCAGAAGACGGGAGTTCCCTTGCCTGCCCTTCATAGTTTAGAGGCATGAAATTGGATTACACTGTTCCAGGTTGGGGTCCCAGACCAGGACCCTGCCCCCATGCCCACCCCTACCCTGTTAGGGGAATCTCCACTTTGGTTCATGGCATAGACTCCCTCCAATGCCTGTGGTGTTCTTGGGGCATGGGTGGGGCGGGTGCCAACAGGAACATGGAGACTAGCTCACAGCCCTCCAGTACACACCAGAGCCCCTGGGGCCCCAATGGAGGCCAGGTAGCTGCGCCCACAAAGGGGGGCATAGACAGATGGCAGTGCCCATCAGGCCTGCCCACTCCAGAACTCCCAGGACTGCCAGCAAGGAGGGAGAAGGCTGGGGACCGGAGCAGAAGGCAGGCAGTGGGTAGACCAGCCAGCTGAGGGGAGGGTACAGCCTGAGCTGAGGCTCAAGGTAAGGATGGGTTGGTTACACCCACTTCTAGTGCCAGTGCCCGGGCTCTGGGATGATCCCAGCTGAGCTCAGAGCTCCCAGAACAGCCCTCCCGACCCCAGGCTCCCCCTCAGTACCTCAGCCTTCCCGGCCCTCTAAGCATTCTTTCTGGAGCACCAGGGCCCACTGCCTAGACCCCTACCCAGGCCAATCAGTGCCCAGATGCTGCCAAGGACCGGTGAGGAGCCCCCAGGTCTAACAGGCTTTCCAAAGTCCTTTATTAGGCCCTCCAGGGCTTGAGCTGCACTTGGCGGGGGTGGGGTGGGAGGATGTCCCAGCCTGGAGTCTTCCTGTCCCTGGTGTCCCTGTCCCCAAGGCCTAGCCAGGACAGGTGTCTACATCCAACCTGCTACTTGGAATGCTCTTTGGCGCGTTCCTTGAGGTAGTTCCAGCCCTCCCTGGAGTAGTCGCAGGCCTTGGAGGGGGCCGCCGACAGCGCTGACATCATCCTGAGGACACCTGGGAAACAAAGGTGGTTGCCCATCCAGGCTCCCCACCCCGCCCCTCCACAGTCCCTTCACCCCGGGGCTCTAGGCCAACTCCTGAGGCACGCTGGCTTTGAGGAAGCTTTTCTGAAACACCACTTCCTACGCTGCCAATGCCAAGAGGGGAAATTGAGACAGTGAGGGGCTAAGTATTAGTTGCCACCTAGCCAGCTCCGATCCATGGCGACCCGATCCCATGGGTGCAACAGCGAACAGACTGCTCCAAAGGGTGTCTATGGCCAGCAGGTGTAATCAATCACTAGGTCTTTCTTCCGTGGCACCTCCAGCCGGTTTTGAACTGTCAACCTTTTGGCTGACAGTCTTGAGCTTAACGATCTGTACCCTCTCCCCTGGAACCAGAGGAGGAATAGGGCCTTGCTTTGGGAGGAGCTCACCTAATGAGCTCAGACCCCAAACCTCATAGAGCCTCTGCCCAGTCTTTTAGACACATGAGATGCTGTGTGTGTGTGTCCTGACACGTAGCAGGGAGGGGGTGATGGGCCTGGCCATCAAAGGCCTAGGCTAGGCTACCCCTCACCCCTACCACCCCCAATAGAGGCTCCAGGGGTATACCTGAATTCCAGGAGTCACGGAAGGAAAAGTTCAACTTCGGAGGGGACGGTAGCTGGGAGGAGAGAAGGGGGCTGGTGAGAAGAGGGAGGCAGGCTGTGCCCTCCAGAGGCAGAGAGAGAGGACATGGAGTATCTACCGGGGTACACAAGGACCTAGGGAGACCCCAGATCTGATGAACCCAGCCCTGGCCTCCCTCCAGCCCAGGGTACCCACCTGCGGCATCCGTAGCCCTGTTTGCTGGCTCACGTACTGGCTGAACTGGTACATGGCTGGGGGGACCACCTCCTCGACTTTTTGAAGGGCAGCCTGGCTCTTGTGGCTGGGGCCCAGCAGCTGCTGGTCGTACACCAGGTAGACAGCGCCCCCTGTCACGCTGCCCTTGATGAGAAACCTGTGGGTACAAGGAGTCACTGCCTGGCTGACCCTAGGCTCCATGCCCACAAGGAGATGGTCCAGAAGATGGCACGTGTACATCAAGGGGCAGCACGGACACAGTGTGCACATAGCTCCAACACAGAACTCCATTTAACTGGTAAACTGAGGCCCGGGAACGAGCAGCGGGTCCCTTGAGGTCGGGCGCTGTGGAGGCTGCAGGGAGGACTGAAGCCCTCTGCCCCTTCGACCGTCCAGATCACCCCCTGCGCGGCATACGCTGCGTCCTCTGGGTGGCCGGACTTCCCGGGCACGCCTGTCTTACAAAGGACACAATTAAGGGCCAGAGAGGTCTCGCCCTAGGCTCGCGGGGAGGTAGGAGGGCAGCACTTGGCAGCTTCTGCAACCCCGCTCCACCAAGCCTCAGTTTCCCTACTCGAAGGCCCGACACGACGGGAAACGAAGAGCAAGTCCCAGATCAAACCGGAAGGGGGGTACGCCCGCAGGAAGGAGATTTCTCCGGGGCCAGGGACCCACCCGGTGGTCTCACGCACCTCATCACCGGCCACGCCCGGACCACCATTGCAGCTCAACTCCGCGCTCTGCGCGCAAGGACACTCGGCTCACCCGCCGCTTCCGGTCGCGACGCCACAGGGGCCGCTGGGAGGCGTAGTCTCCTTTTGCCCTCGCAAAGGCTTCCGGGAGGCGGAGGTTGTAGTTCCAATGCCTCCTGGGAAATGTAGTCTTCAGTGCCGAGAATGCCACAAAGCTGCTGGGAAATGTAGTGGGCAGTGCCCCGTAAAGCGGCCGAAGAGTTAATCTGGCCGTGAAGACTCCTGGGAAATGTAGTCCAGACAGGCTCGGTCCTAGGAGCGTGAAGGGAGAAAAGGTGTCAGGCGTCTTAAAGGTGACTGAAAGAGATGTTGGGGACCCGTGAAGCCCACCCGCGCCCGCGCGGAGTACAAAGAACCCCGGCCGAAGAAAGGGCGTCGTCTAGAAGGAAGGAGGTTGTCAAGGCAACGAGATGGCGGACTGGTTCTACGGAGACGGGTGTGTGGTCACGTGATTTGCTCCGGGGATGGGCCCGCCCGCCTTGTGGGCGGGGCCAGGACCGCAGACTGGAGGGGGCGTGAACCCGGTGGAAGGCTGTTGCCTGGCAACGCCTGGTGCTGGGTTTCTTCCCTCCTCTACCCCCTACCCGCTCCACCCCAGGCTTGGGCCCCTTTCTTGCGAAGGGAGGGAGAGAGGAGAGGAGGGTGGACTTGAGGTCACATGACGCTGGCCCTACAGAAGTGGGCGCGGTCCGGAAGGGAGGTTGGAGGGTCCTGCTTGCGTCTCCCAGGCTGGGACCCGAGCCGTGCAGGACGGTGGGTACCACTGAGGACCAAGTAGGTGAGTACACAGCTGAGGGTGAGACCCTTTGGGTCAGAAGGGAAACTGAGGTCCGGCGAAGTTCGGGACCCCGTGGTGGATTCTGCGAGTATCCGCAGTCCTTTCTTTGGGATTTCTTTCCTATGTTCTTCCATCCACTCCCCCTCGGTCCCCTGTCCCCCGTGGGATTCCTGTGGTCAGGGCAGGACAGGGTAGAGGCAGCTGACACGGGGCTTCAGGCCTTTGCCTGGAAGCGAGAAGTGCGAGTGCGTCCCCAATTGAGAACGGATCCCGAGAACAGAAGAAGAATACTTGTAAATGCTGGAAGATTCCGAGAATAGTTGCTAGCCAAGAGGTTGGACAGGCGGCCAGACTCACTGGGCTTGGTGTGGTGCCTGGCCTCATCCCAGGGCAGTCAGGGAGTCCTGGGACGGTTTGGAGCAGGAAGTGCACCTCCAGGTTTCTCTGGACAGTGTGCCAAATTATCCAGCCAATGGCCAGTGTTGAGGAGCTCAAAGTGCTAGTTCTTTACAGCAAAGGGAGGTGGGCGAAGAGCAGCTTTAGAAAGGGCCCCCCTGAACACCAAAAAACCAAACTTACTGCCATGGACTCAGAGCGACCCTACAGGGGAGAGTAGATCTTCCCCTGTAACTTTTTACAGGAACAGAGAGCCTCATCTTTCTCTCCCGGAGCGGCTGTTGCTTTTGAACTGCTGACGCTGTAGTTAGCAGCCCAATGCATAACCACTAGACTACGAGGGCCCCTCTAGCCCAACTCACAGTGACCCTTTCTGAGACTGTAAATCTATATGGGAGCAGACAGCTGCGTCTTTCTCAAAAAGAGCTGGCTGGTGGATTTGAACCACTGACCGTGAGATGAGCAGTCCAACTCTTCTCTCACCGTGACACCAGGGCTCCTTTTCGAAACCCACTGCCAACGAAAGGAATTCAGATTCAGAGCACCCCTATATAGGGTTTCGGAGGCTGTAAATCATTACAGAACAGTCAACCTCTTCATCCTCCCTGGGAACAACTGCTGGCTTTGAACTGTTAACCTTGCAGTTAACAAGCACATGATACCACCAAGTATCCTCTCAGAGAAGGCAGCTCCCCTGAAAATAATTGGAGCAAGTCATTTGCATTCCGGGCTGAGGGAACCACCACTGCTAAGCCCCTGAGGCAGCTTGTTGCCTGGCCAGTGTGGGAAAGGTTGATATGGCTGATCAGAAGGAGCGAGAGGGTGGGAGGACCTGGCCCCTGTAGGACCTCTTTGGCTAATGAAGTCAGTTGGGCTTTATATTAAGGAGCAGGTTGTATTTCCAGCAGGTGGGGAGGTGTGGTTTGGCTGCAGGGTGAAGGGAACAAGAAGGATGTGGGCCAGGAGCAGGCTGGTTTAACCTCCGCTGCAGTGGAAGACCAGGTGGAGAAGGGACAGGTCCCAGGCCATCTCCAAATGTCCCTTGAACCAAAGTGTAGCCCAGGGGAGTGGGCGTGGCTCTGCACCACTCTGTCTCGCTGCAGCCCAGAGAAGGTCATGAAGGCCTTGTTCCTCACGGGACTTGGGGCCCTGTTCTTCACCTACTACTGGGATGACAACTTTGAACCAGGTGAGCACCCAGGGCCAGGGGCCAGGGGCCAGGGAAGGAATGGGGCCTTCTGAAGGCTGACCATCCCTGCCCACTGCTAGCCAGCCTCCAGGGAGCCCTAGTGCTGCTGACAGGGGCCAGTGCGGGCATTGGGGAGGAGCTGGCTCACCACTACGCCCGCCTGGGCGCCCACCGGCCACACCAAGGCCCTTGTCCAGAAGGTGAGCTGCCCCTCTGATCAGTGTGGGATCGGGTACAAAGGGACCCTGGCCTGCAGTGCCTAATCCAATCCAGGCTTGCTGTGTGCCCTTGGGCAAGTCAGTTAACCTCTCTTTTTCCTGATTTGTCAAAAGAGGATAATAAAAGTACCTTCTTCGTGGGTTGTGCCTGAGGATGTGTTGATTCTGCAAGGCAGTGAGGGTAAAGTTGTAAACTGGAGATACTGGGTTGATAAAAATCCAACAGCCCCTTCCTTGCCCAAGGGCAGGTGGGCCGCTGCTTGTTAGCGGCCATTGTCCCAAGGGAAGCCATCACCACCAAATCTGGAGGTACATGCGAAATGCCCAGCCTTTGAATGTTGGCGGTTGACCAAACAAAAAGGCCGCAGGGCGTTCTGGTCCGGTCGCTAGATTCCAACCACCCTTGACCCCTTGGGAAGATGGTGTAGCCTGCGACAGACACGAGGTTCAGAGTAGAAGACAGGGAGAGGCAGGTAGGTGGAGGGGCCCACGGGCAGCTCTGGCCCCGCCCCCAGGTGGTAGGGAACTGCCGGAAGCTGGGCGCCCCCGAGGTCTTCTACATCGCAGCGGACGTGGCCTCCCCTGAAGCGCCCAAGCGCGTGGTGCAGTTTGCCCTGACGATGCTGGGTAAGGGGCGGGGCAGGAGCCGAGGCTGGGGGCGTGGCAGTGAGGGCGGGCGCACTTCTGGGGCTGGGGTGTCGCTAGGGGCGGGGCCTCGTTGGATCCAGGGGGTGGGACTCCGGAAGGGATGGAGCTCATTGGATCTAAGGGGCGGGGCCTCGGAGCGGGAGCTGGCCCTGGCTGACTGGCCTCTCCGGGCCAGGCGGGCTAGACTACCTCGTGCTGAACCACATGGGCGCCACCCCGGCAAGCACGCGGACCCACAGCGCCCTGGGGGCTCGCTGGCTCATGCAGGTGCTGGCCCCCATTGCGGCCCAGACCCGCCCCGGACTTCCCCCACGCCACGCCCTTCTCGAGCCTGTGGCCCCTCCCCTCTCCGGTCTAGGCCCCTCCCTCCCTCCCTAGGACCCTCCCCACTGCTGCTCCAGGGCCCCGCCCCTGCCTTCCCTTTTCGTCTTAGCCACGCCCCTGTCTGGCCACGCCCCGTCTCCACGTGCAGGTGAATTTCCTGAGCTACGTACAGCTGACTTCCTTGGCGCTGCCGAGCCTGGCGGACAGCAAGGGCACCCTGGTGGTGGTGTCCTCGCTGCTCGGTGCGCGCTCCAGGCCCCGGCTCTTGCAGGGAAGGGGGAGCCTGGTTAGGGAGGGGGTGACGCCTACGGTGGGCTCAGCCGACCAGGAGCCCCGCCAGCCCCGCCCCTCCGCCTCCCTAGGCCGCGTGCCCGCCTCCTTCTCCGCCCCCTACTCAGCGGCCAAGTTCGTGCTGGACGCCTTCTTCGGCTCCCTGCGGCGGGAACTGGACGTGCAGGACGTTAACGTTGCCGTTACGCGGTGCGTCCTGGGCCTCGGGATCGCGCCTCGGCCACCGAGGGAGTCAGGTGAGGTCCAGCGGGGCCGTCGTGGACCTGGGGAGGTCCAACTGCAATCCCCACCTCACCCTCCCGTCCCCCAGGGGCATCACCAGGGCCAGGGCGTGGTCCGTGGCGGCGCCACGCGCGCCTCCTGCGTCTGCTACCCGAGGCGCGTCCACCTGCTGTGCTTACTCCGGGCCTGGCTGCCGCGCCCTCGGGCCTGGTTCATCCACCCGGACCTCAAGTCACGGCTGCAGCTGCTGCCTGAGCTCCCGGTGTGCCAACTCCCCCAGCTTCCGAATGGGGGGCGCTCACTACTAAACTATCCCTGCGATAAGGACCCACATGGCGACACCTTTGAGAGGCTGGTCAAACAGATATGGAACGCTAAGCGGAACTCCCAGCATTGGAATCGGTCACAGCAGCTTGAGAGCACGCTCCAGCCACATGCTCGGCTTATCAGGGGCCTCGAGCCTTCCTGCTGTTCCCACCCGCACCCCTCCCTTTGAGGGTGCCGGCTTCCGTTTGCAGAGGAGAAGACTGAAGCCCAGAGGGGCGACTCATGCTCATCACCCAGGTCACAGCACACAACCCATCCTTCCAGCCCGAGCCCGAACTGTCCGAGCCCTGATTTGTACTCTTTGAAGCTGGCATGCCTCGACCTCACTGGATGCCGGTGTAGGCACAAGAGATAGGAAAGTCGTTTTCGGTTGGGGGGGTGGGGGGGCTGGGCCAACTTCCTGTTCCCTAATAAAAATTCTCTTTATCCTGTCTGTTGTTCCGGTTCATTCGTGCTTCCACTTTGCTGGCTTGGAGAGTGTAGCTAGGTGGAGGTACCCTGGAGGGGACCCCCCCACCCATACACAACAGATGAAACGCTACCCGAAGTGTGATAGTGTGAGAGAAAGAGGGTGTGTGAGAGTGTGAGGGCTGCTGTGATACTGTGTGTGTGTCAGTGTGAGGGTGTTGGGGCTCCTGTGATACTGTGTGAGTGTGAGGGTGTTAGGGCTCCTGTGATATCGTGGGTGTGGGTGTGGGGGGCTTCCGTGAGGCTAAGTGTGTGATGGTGTATGTGTGTGTGAGAGAGAGGTGAGTGTGTGATGGTGTGTGCATGAAAACTAGAATGTATAAAGTGTGCAGGCTGTGTACCCGACAGGGTGAGGATGTGGGGCTTCTGCGACTCAAGTGTATGTTGTGGGAGGGGGTGTGGTTCAGTGACAATGTGGGTAGGGGGGTGGGGACCATGAGCATGACTTAAGCATGTGGCTGTATGTGACTGTGTGACTATAGGTGTGACTGGGGGGCGTGCGTTATGACTGACAGGGTGATGTCTGATTATAAATGACTCAGTGTGGCTGTGCAGGAATGCGGAGGGGGGAGGAGCATTACGCCTGGGTGTGACTGTTTTGAGGTGCATTGTGATTGTGGTTGTGAATGACTGTGTGTGGCCATCCCACTCACCATGTGGCCATTGAGTGTCTCAGCCTGAGAGGGCAGCAGGGAGGCTTGGATGGAGGTAAGACCTTTGGTGAGGGCACATGGCGACTGGGTTTCAACCGAAGTGGGCGTCTGATAGGTCAGGTAGGCTTGTGACGTTGTGTGTGGTTGGGTGTGAGAATGTGTGTGAGCCTGAGTGTGAGTCACAAGTGTGTAAGCATGTGATCCCTGTGGGACATGTCAGGAGGGAACAGTCCCAGCAAAAGGACATCATCATGCTTGATAAAGTGGAGGGGCATCAAAAAAGTGGAAGACCTTCGACAAGATGGATGGGCACAGTGGCTGCAACAAGGGCTCAAATATAAGAACAGTTGTGAGGCTCGTGCAGCGCCGGAAGGTGGTGTTTCAGGTCGCTAAGAGCTGGAACCCACTGGATTTCAGATCACCACCACCAGCAGCTTCCTGGAAACGCGCACATTCAGAGCGCAATCGCGCCGTCTTCATGAGATGCAGTGAGTCCTCCAGCCGCCAGGGGGCGTGCGCTCACTTCCCACCTCTGACCCGGGTCTCTGGCCGAGAGTAGATATCCCAGAGTTCCGCGCGGCACCTTCCTTCCGCCGCGGCAGCCATCGAAGAGTAGCAGGTAAGGGAGTTCTTTGCGGCCGGAATCCGCTACCATCGGGCTCTTAGGAGCTGCAGCACGGTTTGGGGTGCGGCAGGGTGCGGCTAACCAGCCTGAGAGAGCAGCGGCGCGGGGTTCCGGGCGGCGGAGACTGGTCGGGGACTCACTTCCACTTCCTCTCCCCATTTCTGTCCCAGCCATGGCTGTGCGCTACCCTATGGCCGTGGGCCTCGATAAGGGCCACAAGGTGACCAAGAACGTGAGCAAGCCGAGGCACAGCCGCCGCCGCGGGGTGAGTGTCGGGTCCAGGGTCGGGTCGTCTTAGAGGTCAGCGTGAGGACCCAGTGGGGGGCACCCGAGCTGAGGAAGGGGATTGCCAGACGCGTCCGAACAGCAAGCCTCGAGCCTCACCCCTGGGAGCGAGGCAGGCGCGTGGGTGCGAGCCCAGTGGGCCTTCACGTGTGAGGGTTTACAAGTTGGTGTTGGGCTTCGGAGGTAAAACCGGGCCTAGAGTGTCCGTTTCAGGAATAGGGTCTGTTTATGCGGTGCTGGCCTGTGCCCAGTGGGAGGCGGGACCCCAGGGTGGACCAGGTGCCCTGTGGTGATCAAGCCATTGCGCAGGGCTTTGGAGCTCATCTTTGGGGGTGGGGTGGGGCTGCCGCTCACCAGCCCTCCGCC